TGCACAACCTGACAGGATGCAATGAGAACATAAAATGCCTCCTGTAATATCCCTGTCAAAGAGGCACAACTGGAATCTAATCATGAGGAAACAGATAAACCCAAACTTAGGAACATTTTACAAAATAACTGGCCTATAGTCTATAAAGTGCCAAAGGTAGCAAAAGTCAAGGAAAGACTGAGGGACTGTTCCAGAGTGAAAGAAATAAGAGACCCTACAACTTAAGGTAACCCATGATTCTGAACTGAATCATTGTAAAACATTGGGACAGTCAGTGAAACTTGAATGTGTCTGAGGAGTAGATGGGGGTAATGCATCAATGTTCACTTCCTAATTTTGATGTATTGTGATTATATAGAATTCTTTCTTTGGGAAATACATAAGTACTGCAGGGTAATATGGTAGCATGACAGCAACTTCCTCTCAAAGTGGAAAAATTTTATTTGTACAGTATTTACAACCTTTCTATAAGTTTGAGATTGTTTCAAAAATTTTTCTTTAAAAAGCAGAATGCAGAAAACTTATCAGTAGATTCTTATTAAGAGTTGATAAAGGAATTCATGAGATATATAGTTCTAAAAAACATAATTTTCATTACGATGAACTTTGTCCAACTCCTGTTTCCACTGTGCACACACGTTCTTCAAAACTGTTTTTTGTGCCATTAATTCACCCAGAAAATTTTCTCACTTTCAGAATCTTATTTAAGCATGCACACACACTCACTCTCTCCTCCCGTCATTAGTTAAGAGTGACATGTCCAAAGGTGCTGTTCACTGGAGAGAAGCTATGTTATAGTTTTAAAATCAAACAAAAATGCAGGAATTACTATAAAAATAACATCTCCCCCTTGTGGCAAAAATTGAAAATACATTCTACTGGAGAATCCTAATAATGGAGGCACTTAGCATTATTCCCTATAAAGTATTTTCACATAATTTCATGTGAATCCTCTAAATAGCACACAGCATTTGCAAACAATATATGTAGAGGTAGTTTTCAGTTTTCTTTAGGTCTGCATTGTCCACGTCTATTTGGATAATATTCTCTATAGCAAAAAGCTGCAGGCTTAATAGAATTGCCACAAGACATCCAAGTTCAAAGGAACCAAATTTATCCACAGTATAAAGATTAAAATGATAAGCAGGTAAAAGGGATGGCCTCATTCAAAAGCACCTGCCTATTTTAAGATAATAGGGGCATCAAGAAGGCTTCCTACCTCTCAGAGTTTAATCTAAAAAATGTGAAAGTCCACCACTGGAGATTAATTCCTTGGAGTTGGTTCTGTCCAAACTTCAGACTTAGTTTATTAATATGAAGATACTCTGGAAACGATAAGACATTTTCCTTAAGATCATCGATGTAAAAACAAGAGGAAGTCACTCATCTGACTTACTTATCCCAAATTTCTACCCCTATTCTTAAACCTCTATATTTCTTCCTATTAAGTTACTAGTCATTCTGTTTTACTGACCTTCCAGTGATTATAAAAGTCATTTAAGTGGTTTCTAAAAGTAAACTTAATTCCAGTTTCAGACTTTTAAATTAAAAGTGGCTCAGCTGGATATTGTCTCTTCAACACAGTAATATAAATATTAGTATCTTGGCTAAAATGAATTATTGACAATTTTAATACATGTTGCACAGTACATATTAATATATAAAAATACATGTTATCAGCAGCATAATGTTGACCATGTTCTAATCCATTCCACCTGCTCAAATATTAGTGCAAATAATTATATATTTGTAATGCATCACTGCTGTCTAGCGCAAATCTATGCCTTCTGAATAAATGACTTTCCTCTGAGGTTGTTTGCTATTTGGAGTATGACGTGATATATTCATATTTAAATTGGCTTTGTATGGTGAGACAGGCTGCAACCTTCTAAACCACTTAGAAAATGAGCAAGTATGGTATATTACTTGTCTCTCCCCCCAAAAGTGATATTAATCACAAGAACTGAAGTTTACTGTTACTTCCCAAATAATAGTGTTAAAGCATATGGGGCCTAGTTTAAAAACAGCCATCTTGTTAAGCCCAGGGTTATCAGCCTAGCTGCTCCAAATCACCAATTAAAATTTTTACTCTCTAATGCAGCCGTTCTCAACCTGTGGGTCGCGACCCCTTTGGGGCTTGAACGACCCTTTCACAAGGGTCGCCTAAGACCATTGGAAAACAAAAAGATATTTACATTACGATTCATAACAGTAGCAAAATTACAGTTATAGAGTAGCAACGAAAATAATTTTATGGTTGGGGGTCACCACAACATGAGGAACTGTATTAAGGGGTCGCGGCATTAGGAAGGTTGAGAACTGCTGCTCTAATGTGTCAGGTTTCTCTCTCATATACAATTGAGGGGTTGTTTCTCCCCTAAATTTGGAAAGAGAAAGGATTGATCAATGGTAGGAATAAAAGTTAAGAAGTTAAGGCAATTTTTTAAAAGATCAAACATGCAATTTTTGATTACATAAAATGACTACCTATTGTTAATACACTGAGTACATTTTCCTCTACATTTTCACTCCAGCATTAGCCATTTAATAGCTACCAATGCAATAAATAACAGAATTGGCAAACTTCTGACATTAAACTCGTCTGTTTTTGAAAGCAGAAATACTGATTTCCTCATTATCCTCCAAGGTAGAGTTGTCATTTACTCCCATATTACAAAATATGGCACAAAATATGTGGACTCTTTCTACTGTAAAAAATTACTAAGCAGAAACAGTACTATGATTATGTAAAATACTCACTAAAGAGAACTTTTTGATGAAAATATTTCTATTAGACACAAATTATTATTTAATTAAAATTTCATGACCACTTATAAAATTTTAAAAACCAAATCTAAGAAATATGACCACACATTGGACATATTTTTAAAAATTCAATAGCAAATTAGACACTGACACTGTACATCAACTTTGTAATCTAAACATGAGAACCAAACATTGGATGAAAAGAAAATTAGACTAAGCAAAACCAAAGAGCCTATCAAACTAAAGACCTATTGAGTGTTATATAAGAATGGTGTATTTAATAACATAGAGTGAGCAAAAAGATTTAGGTTTCAATCGGAGCCTTTTACTAGCTGTAGACCTTGAGCAGGTCTACATAACCATTTTGTGCCTTAGGTGTTTCGTCTGTCAAATGGATATAATAGTACCCAACCCCGAGGGCTGCTCTGGAATCAAATGAGCATGGGACTTAAGTCAATAAATGTAGCTATAATTATCTTTATTATGAATCACAATTTTAAAATTGCTGTTTTTACTTTATGTAGAATTATTTACTCTAACAATATGGATTGGTCTTTTCCTCCAAAGTACACAATATATTTCAGGACAAACTTTCTCACATAGAAAGTACTACAGGAACTGAATACAGTTAAACTAAACTAATTGGATGAAATTACAGAATGCTTTGTATGTCAAATTCTCCTTTAGAAATCAGGGAAATTCAGTATGCTTCTAAAAAACAGCTCACACTTGTGAGTCAATGGGAAATATATGGTAATATGTAGAATATTTTTGCACTTAAAAAAAAGTTAAACTTCCAGATGTGAGCTTTTTAATTCACTAACTAATTATGCACCTTATTCTCACATACAGTTCAAGCATGCCTTAGGCACGGTCTTATAAACATGACCATCTTAAGGGGTTTTGTAGCATTTCAGGAACAAAAATCTCTTTATCTCGATACTTGTAAATATTTGACGTCACAGATGAGAAAAAGGCATTTTAAAGAAGCAGTATATTCTCCACTTTGAATCAATCTACTGGCTGATAATTCAATTACTGGGTTGTTGGAAAACTCATGACATATTTTTTCTGTTTTTCGTTGCAAAAATGCGTCGACTTTTCCAACAACCCAATATTTCATTGTGAGCCAGAAGGCTGATATTTAGATAGTGAAATACTTTAAATGAAAGAGGAAATAAAATGGCCTAAAATATACCATGAATTACCTATTTCTCAACTCTGTCTCAACTTTTTAAAACAAGGAAGGTGCTAGGGACTTGCAACCATCGTGATACTCATAAAATGAGGCTAATAATTGTATTGGAAGAGTCAGATAGCTAACCGTCTAAAGATCTACCTAGCTGTTATTTAATAATTCTTCATAAGCACTATCTATTTACTCTGGTTGACTGTCTTTTTTTCAATATCATAACTTACAGAAGCTAGACTTCCTTCTTAAACCTGTGTTCTGTATTTCACTTTCTGTACCATTTTATGCAAACATAATACACTCAAGTTTTAGAAAAATAATTTGCAGAGTTTTAGAGCATAGTTTTAACTTTAAAATATTACCTAAATATTTCCTGTTACCTCATGTGGAACTGCAGAAAATTGCAGATTATCCTTATTCAAATGTTGGCTAAAGTTACTAATATACAAAGTTCCATTACTGCTACCTAAAATTTTACCATGTGCATATGAAAAACATTTTACTTATTAATCATCTCTTTTGAGCCATAAATTTTGGGCAAAATTTTATAGTGGCTACAAAATATGAAAAATAATTAAAAAAATCAAAATACAAAGAATGCATATTGCTTTATACAACAATATTTTTTTCTTAGAGAAAGAAACTGTTTAGGTGAAATTTCTAATCTTGGTTATAGTCAAGTATTTTTCTAATAAAAAAGGAAGTGAGAAGATCTATGCTATGAAAAATAAGGAACATCTTAAAAATTTAAATAAAATATAATATAAAATTCAGTATGGATGTCCTTAAAATATAAAAATGAAGTAAAATGAAAAAAAAAAAACAATTGCAGGGAATTTGTTTATTGAGCATTAATGTTAACACTTCTAAATTAAGTATTCACTTATGAGTTTTGTTACTGCCCTGTCAATGGACATAATGGAAAATACCACACAGAACTCAAGCATGGAAATAATAATTAGCAAAATATCTATGCAAGAAGTATATGCTGTACATTTTAAAAATTAATCCAAACAAAATAATTTGAAGCACTTCTCTGATATGGAAGTCTTAAAATGTTCTCTCATGTTTTATTTGAGATCCCCCCCAACGCCTTTTTTTTACAAATTGACACTGTGTACAAAGAGTTCAAATAGCCAGTAAAACTACTGCTTTAAAATTGTTGGCTTTAAGTAACAGAGGTATAATTTGAATTCACATCAGAGCTTTCTAAAATGGCAACAGTACAAGCATATGACTTTCTCTCGCATCCAAAACCTGTTCTGGCTCTCTCTTGGCTAAAGAATAAAAAACTAAAGCTGCCACAATTTCCTAAAATGCTCTGATAAAAGTTGGCATACTTCATTTCTCTTGCTTACCTTGATAACATTGGGCTAAACAGAAAATAAAGAAAATTCAATCAATAGTAACTTAAACAGTAGGAAGCTCTGGACCTGAAAGTGTTCATAAAGTGGATGACCATTCAGAAATACATTCTTAAAAGGTGTTTTCCAAAATTAGGCCAAAAAGCCACTATTAAAAGAAAAAAATGCCAAGAATGAGTTGAACATTAAAGTTTATCTGTTTCTATAAGACTATGAACAACACAATGGAAGCTGAAAAACTACATATAGCTAAGAATGCATCTCACAGAGCAAGTTTATAGAGCAACAGCCTTTCAAAATTTCACTTGATGTTTAAAATTTTATAAGTGATTTATTATGTCACCATATTAAGCCAATTCAACGAACTATATTCAGTAGGGATTGCTTCAGAAATGCCTTGAAAAAAGATAATGACAGAAGCTATAGATTTGAAAACTAGTTTTGCAAAGCTCATCTCCAGACTTAGAATACATGTTATCTATCAAATCCCAATTCCTCTTAAAATAGAAGACTACCTGCGTGTTTATCCATCCCATCTTATTCTAGTTTAGCATTAAGACAGAGATATTAAAGGATTGCATCGTTGCTAAACATTATCAATATTTCTCATATGCACCATTTAGACTATACCTCGCTTTTTTACTTCCCTTATAATATTAAAATAATGAATAAATATGGTCCTTACTTTAAGGTCCTCTACCTTATCTTAAGTGAAATATAAAATAAGGTAGTTTTATTAATTTCTTGCTAGCATTGACTTAAATTTACCAAATAAGAAATAGTAAACTTTTAAGTTTTTTTACCCAGAAAGCAGATGTATTCTGATCCACTTCTAATACATACATAAAACATCTCATCATTTTAGTTTAGTTTATAACATTTTTCTTGGAATAGTATTATTGTTGTACCCCAGAAAAAAAATCCAATCAACCTACTACAGAAATTATGCTCAATTGATAACCTTTGAAAGAGGCAAAAGTTCTCTAGGAAAACCTAAAATAATTTGATTAACAATTACGAGTGCTGAAAATGTCATTAAAATTGACAAATAATATATGCAGTTTTACTGTATTTGACCTATTAATGCAAATAGGATGGTGAAGTTTCCCAATGGACTATGTTAAAGAACATGAACCAGAACACTGGTAACATCTCATTTGCCTTCCATCACTACCATTTTCCAGGATGAAAACTGTGACAAGTCGTTTCACAGAATTTGAAACTTGTAAGTTCAAGAGTGGAATTAAAATTCAACGTAAGGGGAAAAAATAAAATATGGCTAGTAGTGTCCAAACTTCAAAAAAAATCTCAAGGGTAAATATGGCTGCTGTTTTCCCAAACAGTCATTTTTCCATAAAATGTTGGCTATGTCATAACAAATCTCCTGTGCTTTCTATCAACCAAGGCCTGCTGAAGTACAACAAATTTCCCTTCTAAGTTCAACCTCAGCTGAAATGTCGAGCAAGGCGAGCAGATCTATAGTCAGCACGAAGTTGTACGAAGGAGTGAAGAATGGTCTTGTCCAGGTTAGCAAGTTGTTCTCCTGAGCAGACTTGCTTTAAGTTATCTGGGGCAACTACCAGAAGATTGCAAAGTGCATGCAGAGTATCAAAAAGCTGTAACACCAGTGGAATCTGAATTGAGATAAGAGAAGAAAAAAATAACATTGAAACAAAATAATTTCTAGTGTTATAATTAGTTTGTAAATTCTTTTCACATATATACTTTCAGTCAGTACTCACTAATGTGGGGGAATTCAATACATTAGAATTTTTAAAAGCTCCTGAAGTGTTAAAACGCAAATATTTCAGTTGTTATATAAACATGGCTATAATCTTTTTGAAAAGATTCATATTACTGTCAATTTTCAACAGTAACATTTTGTGGACTAGAACTAATTATCATTAATTTTGCACTTTTCTTAAATAATTTAAACCTTAAGGAAAAGTGATTTCAGAGAGATACATGAAGAAGGAACATATTTTGCTGATGTGTGATATATACAGCATCAGTAATGGAAGTCAACAAGTTCATTTGGATTGTGGAACTGAAATATGGCCTTGTCTCAAATAAAGCATGAAGCAAAACTGTGTTAATATTGAAAATATGATTAGAACAATACTTTTTCAGTTAGGAAATGTTATTTCTCACTATAATATCACAAAAGTTAAAAACTTTTCACTAATGATTGTAAGTCAGTACAGATTTTTAATGGTCTGACTTAGTTCTTGAGCCCTATTTACAAATTCGATGCTTGTGATTACATACCTTGAAGTCTTTGGCACACTTCCTATATTCAGCTACATCACAAATTGCTAACATGCCACCCATACAACTGTAGGAATATTGTTGAAGATGCTCATAAATAAGTCGATGAAAACGTACTCCAAGTTCCATCAAAACTGTATCCACATTCTTCCCATCCATGGAATTTTTAATCTTCTCCACTTGTTTTCTTACATAAGCGCAGACTTTCACACAGGCCTGTAAAATTTTTTCTACACTTATTATATAGAAATGTGTATCAGCTTAGCTAAGGAGAGAATACATATATAGTTCCTCATTAATCTCTAAGTATGAAAGAAAAAAATTTAAAGCATAGTAGATATACCAATAAAAATGTTAACAAACAGATATTCTTACTAGCATACCAAATCATTTTACTCACATTAGTATACTGAATCAAAACGTTGTTTTCATCTTCTGGCTTAAAATCTGTTTTCTTTTGTTCTGCAGCCAAGATATGCTTCATCTGTCCAATCATACAATTTAATGTCCTAGAGAATTAAGAACATCGTATATTTGATCCATTTAATTTATTCATATTATTTATATTAAGTTAAATTCAAAGTATTTAATTTCATATCACCATAAAACTATTTTACTATTGATAGACTTTAGATTTCAGAAAAAGTAAATTCTAGGTCTTGATGTCAAAGAAATCTTGGTTTTATTAGTTTCCTGCTCAAAACGCAGGCAAAGAGATTCATTTGCCCAATATTTTATTTGAGTCTTAAAAATATTAAAAGCCTGTCACTAATTCATTTCCTTAACACCTATATATAAAGAATGCTAACGAAGGGGGGAAGATTAGAGGCCAAAGTTTGGAAGAACAGGTGAGAAGAACATGAGTTTCACAGTCTAAGGACAAGCAGGAGGCTGGAGACAAGTGGTACTGAAGACCTAGCTGAGAAATGAGAGCATGGGTTTGTAACAGCACCAGTAATGTGTGAGTTATGTCATATTCTCCAACAGCAATCAGCCACCCAGTTATGCAAATAAAAAAGACTGCAGGGGCCGGCCGAACGGCTCAGTTGGTTAAGAGCTCGCTCAAGAGTTTGAGCTCTGAGCAACAGCGGTTCGAGGCCAGCCCGAGCTGAGTAGCCGCTAAGCTGCCAATAGGTAGCAGGATGGCTCAGCGGAAAAAAAAAATAAATAAATAAATAAAAATAAAATAAAAAAGACTGCACCGATCCACTGCACTTCAGAATCTGTAAGACAGTTATGGTTAAAGGAAATGGATTTTGGGGTAATTATGAGGGAATAATTCAAGAGATGAACCAAGCAATCTAAGCACAATAGTGAATAAAGTAAAGCTAGCGAAATGATAACAGATTGGCAAAAGATGAAGACATTAAGGGCTAGAGTTCCTGCTGAGGTAAGAAAGCAGGTCTACATAGCTGGAAGAACAGGAGGTTGTGGGCATTGAGTAGGGTATTCAGGTTCAAAGTTTCTGTTACCAGTGATAACAAGGTCTAATAGGACATAAAAATAGGTAGCTAAAGTGGAGATATTGAGAAAACAAAAGGGTCACATACATGGAAGTAGAAATAACCTAAGACTTAAGGTTAAAAGAAAAACTATGAGCCAGGTGTCCAAATCCTCAATAAATGTAGGAAATTGACATGAATGACTGAGCGACAACAGCAACAGCAAAGGAAAGACAATGCGAGCTTCAAAGGCAAAGGGATTCTGGCCTAATAGCAGATGGATATTGGTCTGAACATATGTCAGCAGGGACGCAGGTGAATGCTGAGCTCACCTCTAGGCTTCACTGTACATGCGTAAAGGAGAATTAGAAGTTCACATTCAAGAGACCACCACAGACCACTGTGGCTTCAATTAGACAACTAATGCAAAGACTTTGAGACTAAGGCTTATATGGAAAGATGAAAAGAAATTACCTAATATATATTAAGAAGACAATTAGAAAATAGGTTATTTCCTATATAGTACTTTTGAAGTCTCTTAACATATTCAAGCTCCCCACCTCCCAAATATGATTTTCAGGAATTCTGAGGCAAAGCAAGAAGAAACAACTTAATATGAGGGATTTAGGTTAGGAAACTACTTCTTAAAGTGATGATTATAATGTATATAATGTATACATATACATTATAATTTTATTAAATGAACTTCTATGTATGTATAATTTCATGTAGTTCTGACTAAAAACAAAGGGAGAGACCAGTTGTTATGATTCTTCCAAGGATTAATTCTTCAGTAAACTAGTCTCAGTAATTAATTCTGTAACATCCTTATGTTTTCCAGTTTTAGTCTTCCATTTTGTTTCTCTTTCCCTTATTATCACATACTCTTTGGTAGTTCTTGATCTTAGTGAGAAGGTAATTGGGAAGGGAGCTGTAAGTTTGTTACTATTGATACTTTCTACCTAATAAATAACACAGGTAAAGGTCCTTGCACTGTGTCTGGCACATAGCAAATACTTGATACATGGTAGCTATTATCATCATCAATAAATATATGCCCACTATGATCTCAAAAAAAAAAAAAAAGAGCCCACTGCTCTACACTATGAATAGGTAATTAACTACAATAAGCATTACAAAAGTCTTTGAATATAGAGTTTGCATTCATTTAATGGAAGTTACCTTTAGAAAATTAGTATGTTTATTTAAAGCATTTCACTGAAATTTCTAAATGAAAATAAAATGCTCTATGTTACATACCATTCTTAAGGAGTTTAGGGGGAGGGAGGGAGAGAAAGGGAGGAGTGGAGGGGAGGTTACAAAAAAAAGGCTTTCAACTGAATCTGGTTTAAAAATAAATCTAAACATACTGAGTTTGAGAAATAATAAGCTTGGGGATCCAAAACAAAAACATCTCATAAGGATGAAAGCAACATGTAAAAATAACGTCAAACATCATAGCAGGATGGTGAAATTAAGACAGAATGTTTTTCGTCTCTGAAAACCAGTTTTATACTGCTATAATAGTGTTTTTACAATTTTTAAAAATGTAAGAGAAAAAGTAAAACTAACAACTTGCCTATCAATGCCAGTATCCAATTTCATCTCCATTTGTTCAATTATTTCTTTTTTCTTCTGAAGGCATTCAGATAACTTAGGAGAAGAGCTATTGAATGTTAAAAAAAAAAAATTGCATTAGTAGCCTTAAAATTCTAAAAGTTTTTCATGTGCATATGTGTATTGCTATATACATTTACAAACATACACACACACATACATTATTTTAATATATATGCACAAATCCAAAAACACATAAGTAATTATAGTTGACCTTGAATGATATGGACTTGAACTGCATGGGTCCACTAACGTGCATTTTTTTCAGTAAATATAGTAAATTTATTTCCTCTTTCTTATGATTATCTTAATAAAATTTCTTTTCTCTAGCTTACTTTATTGTAAGAATACAGTATACAACACATACAGCGTACAAAATGTGTGTTAATCTACTATTTTTCTTATCAGTAAGGCTTCCGGTCTACAGTAGGCTATTAGTAGTTAAGTTTTGGAGGAGTCAAGTTATACATGAATTTTGGAATGCATGGGTGGGGGGGTGGGGAGTTGACTGGCACCTCTAACCTCCTCATTGTTCAACGGTCAACAGTATTTAGAATTCACTAAACCCAATTCATTATAATAGTCACACCAGGAAAATTTAACCAGTTCATACAGAAGAAAGAGGAAGATTTAGATTTGTTACTTTCATTTCAGGGAAGACAGACCTTAACAATATAAAAATGTAATTTTGAAATTTTGGGATTATTTGGTTTCCTTTTTAATTAAATATCTGGTATAATAATAATAAGTCACAGAATATCACCAGTCTTAAAAATAGAGTAAATTATACTATTTAAAATTTGGAGACTAACAGCCAATCCAGTTGTATTTAGCTTTCTTACATGAAAAACAAACAAAAACTGGACAATCATATTTGTCTTTTGAATGCTATATAAATGTCAAAAACACCCAAAATATTAAGGAATATACAACCGTAATAGTTATGTGAATTTTTTATGTGGCTTTACTATAGCTGTTTAATGAGTAAATTTCCTTTCAAAGTATGATTCAGAGATCACAAGTGATTTTTTTACTTTTGAGATTGTTTCTGGACGAATTTCTTGGCATATTTGTTTATAACAAAGTATCTAGAATTTTATCTTTTACAAAAATATTTTTCCTCTTTAAAAATTGTACTACACATACAATTTTATACAACATGATAACACATACACTACCTTAACTCTCACGTGCTTTACAAGTTCACATAAATTGATAGGAAAATATAAGCCAAACCTTACTTAATGCCTCATCAAAACCTGTCCTATTAATCTCATAAAATTTGTGTTTTATGTTTTCATATTATAACAAGTAGGTACATGTTAGAAGTCCTCTTTTACATCCGATACAAGTTGATGACAGATTCAGTCTTTTCAAATAAGCCAAAATTAATAACACAGTAGAAAGAGAAAACAGAAAGGCAAGGAAGAAGGAAAAGGAATTTCATTTTTATTTCACACCTTCCTGTCCGGTTTGATGTTTTTATAAATGTATATTACTTTTAAAATTTAACAAAAAGATATGTAGAATATTGTAATCTTCATTGAAATACCAATGAAAAGCAGACAATTTGACTAACCTTATTAGTGGCATAAGGTGATCATTAAACTGCTTGTCAAAAAGATGAAAAATAGTATTGGCCTGTTGCACAACATCCAAAAAATAGAGATTTGCATTCCTAGAATCTGAAGAAGGAATTCCTAAAATTGGAAGGCATGTATATGTTAGAATTATACTTCAGGAAGTTCATCTTGGCAAGAGAAAAAAGAATGTGGTTTTATACATACAACATGAATAAAAGTAACTGCTGTTTTAATAAATCAGCAATTATTTTTGTGGACAGAAGAGTAAAATTAAGCTGTTAATAATGTAAAAAAATTCATCCAAATTTTCACCATCTACTCAAACTTCATAATTTGCTGAATAGACTGAAAAATAAATCAATTAATGAATCATCTTGAACTATAATTTCTCCTTCCTTTTCCCACTCTCCTGTGCCCAATGATTGACTTGAGCCACGAATACACTTCATTTTCCTTCTCGGATCATCCTTTCTAAAAAAGCCCTCGGCCCTTCAATTCTCCATCCCACCTCCCCATTACTACTCTCTATCTTACTCAATTTTATTTTTCTTCCTAGTCATTTGTCTATCTTTCCCACAAGAATGTAAGCTTCATGAGTGCAGGAGTAGGCGCTTAGTATGTGCTGAATGAATGAATTCTGGTGAGTGGAGGCAGACACTAACAAATAAAATTTCATTGTGATAAGTGCTGTGAAAAAAGTTAATCCAATGATGAAATAATGAGTAACTAGGCTGGGAGAGGAGGGCTACTTAGCTAGGATGATCAGCAAAGTTCTCTCTCAGAAGGTGACATCTTAGTTGAGATAAGAAGGTTGAAAAGCCAGACACAAGACAAGGTAAAAGGTTTGGGAGATGGGAAACATCATGGGCCAAGAGCCTGAGTGAAGAAAAAGAATGAAGATCAGAGTGCTTGGGGTAGCGAGGGGAAATGCAAGAGGAGATGAGGATGAATACATAAGAGGAGGCCAGCTCAAAAGCCTTGCTTTTGTAAAGAGTTTGTTGTTGTTTTCCCCCTAAGAGTAATAGGAAGCCAGTAAAGGGTCTACAACAAGATAATAGTAATTGAACTGTTTCTTGTAGTCAGTAACTTAGAGAGGCAAGGATGATGTACACAGGGAGACCAGTTAGGAGTGGACAGAGATGGTGTTTAAATTAGAGTGGTACCAGTGGAGATGGAGAAAAGTAGATGAATTTGAGTTATGTTTGGAAGTATATATCAGAGTTGATGAAAAGGAAGAATTATGGCCATTCCTGGGTTTGGGACTTGAGCAACTGGTAAACAGTAATGCCTTTTAAAGACATGGGGAAGAATGGGAGAGGAACAGGTTTAGACGAAAGATAGTTTCATTTGGGATTTGTTAAATTTGAGATGCACATTAAACAGGTGGAGAGGTTAAGAAGGCAACTGGATTAGTGGGACTGGAATTTAGGGAAGAAATTATTAATATCGTATTAATACCAGTAAATCCAAAAGACCCAAAAAGAAAAAGAAAAATTTCAATGTGAATCTATTCCTTTCTGGACTTATTTTCAAATATTTTCCTTTCATTATTCAATTGCCTTAACAGAATTGCTGTCACCTTCATTTCTGTTCCCTTGACATTTTATAGCTTATAGCATGGTACTACATTTCGCCATATACTGTACTGACATATGTAGCTTACCCTGCCCTGCTCGATGTAGTAAATACTATGAGAGAACTGTGTCTTTGTATAACTTTTAAGCACCTGGCAAATCCTTGCATTACAGGAGCTCAAAAAGTATTATTAATTGAACTGAACTGAATTTGACATACAGAGTTGAATATATAAAAACATTATGTACATACAAGCAGGATCAAAGAAATTTAATACAAAGGATAACACAAATAAATATACTCACCAGCAAGTCCTGTTTCCAAAGCATAATCAATATGCTCAATACATAAAAATTCCACAAGAATGGTAAAAATTCTAAAGGCATTCCTTGGTAGGTCAGAAGGATCAGAGAGCTTTAAAAACAAAAACCAAATACATCACTCTTCAAGTCTACCTTTAAAAAAAGGCAACTTTTTTTTTTTTTTTAGCAATCAACATTGTATATGATGTAGTCAGTATTCAGGTATCAAAATGATAATTTACACCTCTTCCTCCCCACCCTCAACACCTCTCATGTACATACAATGCTCTATATTTGCCTATAACTCTCCTGCCTTAGACTAGATCAATGTTTTTCTGACTTGGATTGCAATCCATTAGTGGATTGTGATAAGAAAGAGAAAAGAGAGAGAGAACCAATAGAAAATAAAGCATAATGTACACAGTAAAACCAAATATAGTTTCATGAAATACACACACACAAATAAATATAACAAATGTACACAGGGCCGCCATGTAAAATAGCATTTCTCACTGTGGGTCATGGTCAAAGAAGTTTGAGAGCCACCAAATGAACAAAGGGTATTCTGGCAAAACTCAGAACAAAAAGCATTCTTTATTTAATGTATATCATTAGTATGACTTCAATTTAAATTTCATCCAAAATTTTCGTCTTTAAAATACTGAATGTCAACTGTAATTGAAAAATATTTTAAAATATTAAAAAATAAGACATGTAGCCTGGATATTATAATTTGTGCATTTTACATTTCAAAAATGGTAAAATTCAAATATTAAGTCTTTGGCTGTATTAAAATAATTGTTACAAACCTTTAAAATGTAGATATAAACTAATCAATTACAACTTTTTGTTATATTGAAATACAATGTGTTAAATTTCTTCAGTTGTAGTTAATACAAATAAAGTTAATTTCAATTAAAAAAAGCATTCTTTATTTTATTGGGAGGTGGGCATGAGAAAATCAATAAACAGATACACTGTAAAATATGACTGGTTCAAATCCCAGTTTAATCAGTTTTGGTTAAATGAATGCTTAAGGTGTTATTTAACCCTACCAAGCCTTAATTTCTTCATCTGTAAGGTGGGAATAATATGAATAGCACTTATATCCTAGCCGTAAGGTGAGAATAAAATATGAAAATGCATGTAAAGTACTTTTAAGCACAGTGTTTGGCACACAGTAAGACCACAATAATAAATGTTCATTTTGATGTTAATGATGCTACTGATTAACTACTCAGTAAAAGAATTATTAGTCATGCTGAGAAAATAAGATCCCTCTTAAAAAGTTAGAAAATTACCTCTCAACTTCTTATCATTACTTCCTGTATTATTTATCAATTGATTGTTGCCTATTTGTAATCTCTATTCATGCAAGCTCTCAGAGTAATGCTTATTATCTGATATATACAGCTGGGAGTGAAAGTGCATAACCTACCTTAAATCTGCTAAATCTCCACTAATTATAAATATTGATTTGGTATTCCTCAACTCCCTTTCTGGTCTTCTTAATACCACCCCGACCTTTATCCTTCATCAGTCTCTCTACCACAACCTTCATTCCCCGTCTTTGCTTACAGATGCTCAACAGATGCCCTTAACAAGCAATAAAGAATATAGAGCTATCAAAAAATACTGACAACCCACTTTTAAAAATGGACCAAAAAAATCCCCCAAAGAATATAGATGGATGGCAAATAAAGACATGAGAAGATATTCAACATTAGTCATAGGAAATGCAAACTAAAACCATAATGAGGTATCATTATACACCTTATTCAATTGTCTAAAATTAAAAAGACTGATCATACCAAATGTTGGAGATCATGTGATGCAAATGGAACACTAACACACTGCTTGTAGGAATGTCAAATGAAACAACCATTTTGGAAAACAGTTTTTTTAAAAGGAATACCATCTCACTACTACCATATTGCTACTAAATATATACACAAGAGAAATAAAAGCACTGTCTGCATAAAGACATAGACATGAACGTTCATAGCAACTTCATTCATAATAGTCAAACACTAGGACCAATCTAGAAGTCCATCAATAGGTAAATGGATGAGCAAATTGTGGTATATTCATGCAGTGAAATACTACTCAGCAATGAAGAGGAACATACATACAACATGGATGAATCTTAAAATAATTATGCTAAGTGAAAGAAGCCAGAAACACAAGTACATACTGTACTATAATCCCATTTATAAAAAGAGTCTAGAAAATTAATCAACTTCTTGGAGACATCCTATTTAGCTTTCAAGACTTAGTCCTCACATGTCCCCTTCTTTTTAAAAACTGTCTATAATGATATAAAGCAGATCAGTGGCTGAATGAGAGTAGAAGAGGAGGGAGAAGAAAGAAGAATTATAACAGGGCAAAAGGAAACTTCTGGGGATGATGGATATGTTCATTATCTTGACTGCAGTTATAGCTTCACAAACGTACACATAATTTATCAAAGTTACCAACCTTTGTAGTTTAAATATATGAAGTTTACTGAATGTCAATGATATCTCAAAGTTATTGCTTTAAAAAGAAAGGAAAACACACCAGTCTGTTTGTTCATTACACTGCCCTTTAATATTCTTTAAAGTTGTCATCAACATCTACAAGGTCGAGTGCAAATTTCCAAGCATGATATGCAAAGAGTTTTTGTCTACCTGTTCAATCTCCTCTATTATTACTCTTCCCATGTACATTTTTATTTCAAGCATTTCATGCTGCATGATTGATCTGTGTATATGTCTTTGTACATGTACTATTCTCTCTACCTAAAACAGCCTGCCAGAATCATCTTCTTAAAGATTTCCTGTTTAGGCTTTCAAGACACAGGACTCAAATGTCCCCTTCTTTTTGAAAGTCTTCCCTGATAAATACTGTTCCTCAATTTCTTAACTAGGCAGAGCTGGTTGCTTCCTCTTTGGTCCCAGCAGTGTATACCTACCTTGTACTAATTCTTTATATGTCTACCTTCTTTCTCCACACTATTCAAATGTAATGTATATGCCTAATATTTACATCCTCAGTGTCTAACATGGCAGCTGGTACAAAGTAAACACATAATAATATTTGTTAGATCAGATGCAAATATCCAGTCTCCACCTCAATATAGTTCTCCAAGTAGGAAATGAAAATGGATTTGACTAGCTTAGACAAGGAAGTCTATACTAAATTGAACTGAATTTCAATCTTGTGACTTTCCAGACACAAGGTCATGATTTAGAGTTAGATGCTATGATTCAAATGATAAATATGTTGACAGCTTCATGTTAGATGATCTGAGGCTTTAGAAATATTTTAACATATTTTCAACATTCAGAAAATAAAGATACTGTGCTCGCTTCGGTAGCATATATACTAAAATTGGGACGATACAGAGAAGATTAGCATGACCCCCTGCACAAGGATGACATGCAAATTTGTGAAGCATTCCATATTTAAATAAGTAAATAAATAAATAAAATAAAGATATTACTGTACCAAATATACCCATCACCACCCACGTGTGTCATACCATAACATTCTTATAAACATACTTCTAAATAATTTTAGAATAATTATGTTCTCTAAAACAAAAATCTTCTATATTTTTAATACAAAAAATAGTCATTCCTAACCAGAGAGCAGATTTATATCTTAGTATATAAACAAGGCAAAACTTAATATACACAACTATATATAAATAAAATGAATTTACAATTACTCTTACCCTATGACATCTTTCAAAGGCTTGTTTGGTTTCTTGTAAAAGATTAACTACCACTTCTTGGGATAGGAAGGTTTCTCCATGAGTATCGATACTTGGCCCCAATGGTAAGTTGGTACGTTGTCTAATTCTCTCTTTCAAATCTTGAATACTAGTGCATTATATCAACAAATGAAAAAAGAACACTTTACTATACATAAATTTCAAGTAGTCTAAAACGTATAATAGTATACATCAACAAAGAAAAATGGACCAATAGCCAGGAAACCTAAAAGTTCTAATTCTAATAATTAGTTCTATAAAGTGAAGCAAACCTTAAATCTCTAAACAAAAGATTTTCATGTGAAAAATTAGATTTGGAGTTATGATCTCCCAAGTCTCTTTCAGCTCTACAATTCTGACTCAATAGTCAAATTGGAACTGGGTTATTCCAATTAAGTTAATAGTCCAGATAACTAAATGGTCCTGCTTAAAATAAACTTTAAAATTTTAATATTTTAAAAATATATTTATACATATTGCACATTTCTTCATAATTGTTAAACAAGATATATGAAACCTTTTCTTAATGACTAAGGGTCACTTTGACATTTATTATTATATAATGGTATCATTAGAAGGTTAGAATTTTTTTCTTCCTAGAATATATAGTTCTAGATTACTGCAAACTAATTTTTTTTAAAAATTTTATGATTGGTCTTTACTTTTTCCTTCCTTTATTTGCTATTGCCTTTCAGATGTCACTTTTTATTCCTAATTATAACTTCTCCCTGATCATTATTTAATATGTGACAAACTGGAAAATAAAAAGCTGATTGGGGTGTATATGTATGTGGACTCTGGACCCTGATAATATGGCTCCACAGAAGTCATTCTGTTTCACCCTAAAATCAACTGGGTTCTAGATAGTTGAGATCTAGATTACTGAGGTGCCACCAATTCTTACAGCAAATCACTTTCTTCTAGGCTGTAAATAATCACAAGTTTTAAGTTATTAAATAATTTTATGCACAAGTCATTAAAAAACTCAGGGTATCTAAATTGTGAACTGTCTATTTTCTGTTTTTTTTCACACCTGCAACAATCAACAAAAAAATGATATGCATCCGAGTTAATGAACTGGAATAATTTACTGAGTCTGAAAATAAAAAAGAAACTATCAAACTCTTTATAATACTGATATTCTGCTTTACATTTTAATGTTGTATTAGGCAATTTGAACATGTGGTTGAAGAGACAGGATTTCATCAATGGTATAAACAGAGTTAAAAGAGTTCATCAGGAAATTCCAATGACCATCAAAATTTAACAAGCTTGTCCAAATTAATAAAGTTCTTAATATCTTTAGTTTTAACTATGATATTTAACAAAAACACTCACCCTCCTGTGCCAATGGATCTCTTTTGATGGTTTTTTGAATCATAATAGCGCTGTAGGATCATAGCACTTCTGCTTTTCAAATATCCGGTCTCCACCTCAATATAGTTCTCCAAATAGGAAATGAAAATGGATTTGATAAGCTTAGACAAGAAAGTCTGTTTATCAGTACCTAAGTTAAACTCCATCAACTTGCTGGAAAGATTTGTGGTTCTTTTCATGGAAAAGGGGGGAAAAAAAGATTAATATATATTTTAGGTATAGTAACAATACTAAGGAATATATATATATATTTTTACAATGTGACTTTAACAGCTTATGTTAAACCACCATTTTTTAAAAACCTGGGATGGTACTTAGGATGCAGAAAGCAGCTGTATTGGATTATATGTAAAGTAGAATGAATATTAACAAACAACATTATCGTTTTGAAAACTGTCATAAACTCCTAGGAATGACCGAGGAGAGGAAACTGAAGCAACCAACCAGTCTAGAAATGGCAATAAGCGGTAGAATGGCTTCAAGTATGGCCGAACGCCACTTAGGACATGGTACCCAAGTCGGAATACTGAGAGGTCTACTCTCTGTTCATTCTTTTTTGTATTTGTCCATGTGGACCATTTTCAGTTTCCCACTGTTGAAGACAGGCTCACAAAAATGTTGTTGATATGAACTTCTGGATTATGGTTACTTTTGAAAACCATCCTCCCAAAATAATGACTCTGAAGAATAATAGCAATAGGGTTGGGTAAAAATTCCATATGAAGCTTCTCATATAATATTTCTAAGTGTGACACTGCCTTTTATAAAAGACCAATACAGATTCTCACATCAGACTTCAGGCTGGAAATTGTCATTTTTTAAAGAATTTGTAACTTCCTTTGTCAATTTATCAAGTTTTAACTGTAGATAAATGTAATCATAGCAATTCTTAGAGAAAAAAAAATAAAGAATATGGAATTAGCTTACAATTAAAATCAGAAACAAAATTCACAAGTCTTAGTTTAAACAAGGTAAACAAAGGTTTATGTTTCATTGAAGTACCTTAATATAAAGCATATATCCAATTCCTTAAATTAATGTACTAAGAATGCTGCTCTTGTACAATACTAGTCTATGCAGCTAAGCATTTAATGTTAAAAGACATATTTGCTATCTAACAAACTGTTATTCAAAAATACCTGAATGCTTCCCCATTTTCCAATTAGAAAAAAAGCACATCTGAGATCTTGTACTATTTTCTAATAATTAAAAATATACCTTGTATATAAATCATAGAGATTTTTGAGATACTGCTCTGCATCGGACCGCCTACATTCTTCTAACTGGTCTTTCACAAAACTCTAAAAAAAAGACAACATTATATCAATAAGTAAATATTAAATTACACAGTCAAGATTTTTTTCCCCTTTAAAATTACTCCACATTCTTAAACTCTTCTGACTTATAATCCAATGGAAAAGGCAATGCATAAAAAAAAGAATATAAAAAAATTAAGAAAATAGGTTTATAATTTTTACTGCTATATTTACTTGTATGTCTATATCATCAGTTTTGTAAATATTAAAAATTTCAAAGTATCTATTTTTTGAGAAAATAGCCTATTCTGACTCATGAAGTACATTTTCAAAACAACAACAAAAACCCCCAAAAAACAAAACCTGAGGCTACACGAATATAGTTAATTCCTTAAAGCAGCATTTACCAAACTGTGGTCTGGGTAACATTAGTGTCCCTTGAGACATTACCAGGCATTACTATAAAATTGGGGAATGCTGTACATTACAACCTCACTCTAGAAAACCACAAAATATATTAGTACCTTTAAAGACTATTAAAAGTCCCAAATTGTGTTTTAAAAACAAACATTTATTTAATGTTTCTTAATCTACTGGTAAACATAGTTTAGAAATGTATAATGCTATGGGAATAAAGGTTATAAATTAAATTCCTGTGTTTTTTCTTTTCATGTAGTACCCCATTATAAAAAAATCTGCAGACTGCACTTGTAATTCTCAATTTCACCAATGCCATCTATCGGTCAAGGTGAGGATGCAATGAAAATAAAAATCTGAGGCTACCGTACTACAACCTGCTGCTGCTGCTGCTACTACTACTACTACTACTACTACTACTACTACTACTATTGGTACACAAAATTCAAACATATGTTCTGATGACACTCTGTGATTAGTGTATTTTCATGGTGAACAACAAAACATTTTTTAAAAAGCATGACACTGTCATCCCTTTCCCCTTTACCGAATAAGATTACTATTCCTAAGGGCACTACATAAATAAACTAAGTTTTAAAAAACTTTTAAAAATGTAGAGATAAAATAAATCACATATTGCTTTTAAAAACTACTTAGTCATTATTTAAAATTACCTGTAGTTTGATTTCAAATACATTTTGAATAAGTTTAGCCAGTACTGTTTCTGGATTACTAAAGATATCTCCAACTTGTTTGTTCACCCGTTGACAGAGTATTGCTGCATCTTCAAATATATCATTTCTCAAGTAAGCACCCTAAACAGCAGAGGCATTTTACATAGTAAATATATAATTTTTAAAACACCAATTGACATAAAATAAAGTCCAATAAAGTGTACTGTTATGTTACCTCCTGGCACTGCTTTATATAAACATCAACACAATGGGAATAACCCTGCGAAAAAGAAAGAAATACATCATCATTTTTCTGGTTAAATTAAAATAATCATCTCAATAATAGAGGTATTATATGTAATAAAGCTATGTCTATGTCCCAATGAATGGCCAATAGTAGTTGAACTTAAATATAATTAGTTGTAGAAAACCAATAACCTAATATAGCTATCTTCTCCCACTTGCTGTCTATGAAATTGATTAGCTGGTACATATCCTTGTAGGACTTTAGGCTGAAAGAAGAAAACTGAAGTATAATAAAGTTCTTTATAGTCATTTTATCCTATCATCACCTAGTGATCTCCTTTAACTCCAAAACATGTGCACCCATGGGCATGTATGCACGTGTCACAGACTCAGCTCTTGATAAAAGGCTGAATATATATATATATATATATATGTATATATATATATATATACACACACATATATATATATATATATGTGTGTGTGTGTGTGTGTGTGTATATATATATATTCATTGGAAAAGTCATGAGGTATTTTGTCTATGTTTTTCAAAGGTTATTTATTTATATAAAGAACAAAGATCAATCAATGATATATTGCCCGTTTTGTTCCATAACATTTTGCCATCTTTCAGTGAGCTTCATAATTCCTCATTCATAGAAGGACCTGTCTTTATTTGTGAAAAACTGAACAAGGTGCTGATTAACAGCCTCATCTGAAGTGAATGTTATACCACTCAAGGAGTTTTGAAGAGAGCGAAACAAGTGAAAGTCTGATGGCGCAAGGTCAGGTGAGTATGGTGGGTGTGTCAACACATCCCATCCAAGCTCCAATAATTTTTGACAGGGTGATCAAACTTGTGTGTGGTCTCATGTTGTTGCAATGGAACACAATTCCTTTACAATTAATGAGCTCTGGACATTTCTGGATGATGGATTCATTCAAACTGTCCAATTGCCGACAGTACACATTCAAACTGATTGTTTGGTTCCTTGATAGGAGCTTGAAAAACACGACACCTTAAAAATCCCCACACTGAGAGCATAACCTTCCTCTGATGAATGTCTGCTTTCGATGTCATTTGAGGCAAATCATAACATCAGGACCAAGACAGTTTGCGCACCACATTGTTGTAAACAATCCACATATCACCCGTTATCAGTTGCTTCAAAAAAATGATTGTTTTCCTCACATTTAATGAGCATACTGCAGATGTTTATCTGTGCCATCAAATGAACTTCTTTGAGTTCCTGTGAAATCCAAATATCGAGCCTGCTTACGTATCCCAGCTTCTTCAGGTGGTCGTGAACACTTGAATGATGGATGTTCAATGTTTCTGCAATCTCTCGTGTTGTGTAACGTGGCTTTGACTTGATTAACGCCTTTATTTTGTCATCATCAACCTCAGTAGGCCTCCCTGACCGAGGAGTGTCACTGAGATCAAAATCACCAGCACGGAATTTTGTGAACCATCGTTGGCACTGATGTTCTTGTAGAGCATTGTCACCGTAAACTTTACGCAACTTTTCACAAGCTTGAAGTGCGTTCTTCTTTTTATGGAAGTAAAACAGTAAAATATGGCGAAAATACACAGTTTGGTCTTCCATCTTCAACTTGTAAAACCTTCAAAACTCAACCCAATCGCTCAATTTGTTTTTAGAATGAAGCTAGAACTGTCAGCTGTCAAATAACATAGCAATAACATAGATGCGAATGACTCTAGTACTTCCAAAAATGAACTAGTGCCATCTGTTGCAAACATGCGTCATGACTTTCCCGACAACCCAATATATATACATATATCTTTGCTCTTGGATTCAAAGCATTTGCCTTCCCTTGCAAGAATATAGACAGAGCTGTATTTAATTGACATTCTGGAATTTTACTTTAAAAATTGAATCCATTTTAATAGGATGTGTTTAAATAAAATAGTTTGTCACATGAAGCTATTAGTTTTTATTAACAAATCATACATAAAAACAAGTAAGGTAAGCAATATAAAGTATACTGTTGTCTCAAGAGCCATTCTTAACACTCAGATACGTTACTTCAAAGAAAAGTTCAACAAATGTCTTATATTTCCCTAATCTGATACAAATCTGAAGAAACAGATTGAAAGCAGCGCTATTTCTTTAAGCACTTCGTTTGCAGAAATACATTCCATACAGGGATTCTCTCCTTAATTCAAGTTTCAGGAAGATAGTTCCATAATACAATACTCTTTTGTATTACCACTTGAGACCCTCTGGATTTACGTCTTTTACTAGTCACATTCCATCTACTTCCTGCCTCCTACATTTCACCAGAATGTAGGAAGACTTGACTTAACATCAAGTCTTCTTGTTTTTGACCTATTACATAATATGTTTGACTGAAAAAATATATATATATTACAAACCAAGAAAGCAAACAAAATGATTTTCTATGTCAAACTATACAAATTCATATATAGCTTGAAATATATTGGTATCATATTGATATTTGATAAAATATTAATGCTACAGAATAAAAAATCCCTATTTAAATATTAAATACCTAAAATTTAGCATCACTTATGAAGAGAAATATGAAATGTACAGATTATTCAAAACAATGAAAATTATCATTGTGATACTCATACAATAGGGAAAATCAGAGACTATAATATATAGAATTCATATGATCTCCTCAGTCTTGAAGACTAATCATCATTTTTAATTTTTACTATTTACCTTAAAATGAAGTAAAACTGCTGCTACTTCTCTCATTCTGGAGATCTCACCTCTTCTTTGAGCACTGGTAAACTCCTGAATTAGTTGGCATTCTAAATCATGGTATTTACCTAAAAATAAAAAGAAAGTCATTAGCTACAATGAGGCAGACAAGGTATCCAAGTTATTTATTAGTATATGAATTATTTATAAACATAATGACTATGGAAAAATTACAAAAACAATGTGAGATTACAGACAGTGAATTTAGACCCTACAATATACTACAGTATATAAGCACATATTTTCAAGACAAAAAAAAAATCTTCCCAACTGGCAAAATAGCTGAGCTCTTATAGTCTGAGTGTCATTTACCACTATTACTATAAAAGGCAACTGACTGGGAAAAATCTTAAACTTGAAACTATGGTAAGAATGAGGAAAAATACAGAAATCTTGACTAGAGTTGAGATGACTTTACCCATGAATAATGGTGGATTCAACACCAAATTTCACCTTAAGGTAATATGTGATATTTGATTTACTTCCTTCTAGAGGCTATTATGGTTTGGGATGAACAACTGAACTTTGGACTAACCTACAGTGACCAAAGACATTGCCAGGAAGTCCAAATATCTGTGTCATCCTTATTCTAACACTTTTTGGGGAAACAGGTGGTCCTTTGAACCTTCCATGCAAAATGGCCTCCCAAACAGTGACTCGGGCTACCATGAGAGCCTGCAAATATAATGGCTTTTCCAGAAACCTGGAATGATTTGCCTAAAATAGAATCCAAAGATTGACAAGAATCAAACTATTAAGGAATTAAATAGGTATTAAAATGCTCATATAAGCTTAGCTTTTTTTAAAAAAAGAACCTACTTTAGAGATACATGTATGGATACATGTATGGCTCTCCAAGATACATTGTTAAATTAAATACAGAAAGTATAAAGCTGTAATATTTGTATAGTATGCTACCAATTATTTTGAAATAAATGGGGAAAGAACTAAATTCTATACATATATACATGATTTATGACCTATGCTATATACCTGTAGAACACTCTGAAAGAATACCCAAGAAACTGGTAATTGTTGCTTCAAGGAAGAGGAATCAAACTCAGGGACAGGGTAGAAGGATGTCATTGTTTCCACTATCTGTCCTTTTACAATTTTTTTTTTTCTTTTACACAAGTAATTTTATTACCTGTTCAATATAGTTAAATAATAAGAACCCCACTTACTTGCAATTTTGGATTTTACTTCTGAAAATCTGAAAGATAAAAACCGATGAAGTTCATTAGTTGTAACAAACATACCATAGTAATGTAAAATATTAATAAAAGGGGAACCTGGGTTTAGGGATCTACAGGAGTCCTCTGTACTAAAGGTCATCATAAAAAAAGAAGAAAAGAGGGCCGGCCGAGTGGCACATTGGCTAAGAGTTGGCTTGGGACACCAGCTCTGAGCAGCAGGGCCCCGGTTCGGGTCCCACATGAAGACCAGTGATGCTACGCCCTCTACAGCTAAGATGGTGAACAACAGCTCGACCTGGAGCTGGGCTGCCATGAGTCGCAGGTGACGGTGTAGGCTGCAGTGGGGCTGGCTGGCAGCTGGCATGCACTTTCGTGAGCTGCTGTGAGCAGCCGTGAGCAGCCGTCCAATGGCCGGCGAGTGACTGCCTCACCAGGGAAGAGCGCAATGATAATACCAACATGGGCCAGTGAAGCAACGTCCTCCACAACTAGACTGGAGAACAAAAGGACAGCAGCTTGTCTGTTCCCCTTCCCCGACTCCCCAATGCTGTTCCCCTCCCTTAATTCCCCAATAAAATCTTCAAAAAGAAAAAAAGACAAAGCCAGAAGAGAGAGAGCACTGAGAGGAAGCATACCAGGTGACAAAACTGAATTTGGGCAATTCAGATGGGGGAGCTGGTTCTCATTTAGAAAATTCACATTGAATAACCAATTCCATTGTTAAAGCAGGAGGAACTGTACAAGGCATTAACAATCCATCCAGCATCAACACCGAGTTATTGTCCCCACTCACAGTCACTAGCATTTTAAATTCACTTTATATTTGCCTATTTCCCCTCTGTTGGGATTTTTTTCATATAAAGTTCAATTATTGTTATTAAAAATAAAAACAATGATAGAAAAGTATATAAAAATGAGTTATTTTAAAACTAGAATAAAATAGAAGGTATAAAAAGGACCCAGCAGTGTGCCCAGCAGATTAATCATTCAATCTTTGCAAATTCAAAAACTAAAACATCACACATATCATACACTAGAATTTTTTCAAATTGTAAATACCAAAGGGAATGCACATCTTGGAAAATTAATGTTGAGAACCTATGCAATGAGTTTGAAGAGAGAGGAAAGCAGCTGGCTAAAGAAATGCCACAAATAGATGAAGAAAGTAATAAAAATTTAGAAAGTTACACAAAATTGAGATATAGTCATGTGCCACTTAACGACAGGAATACGGTCTGAAAAATGCATCGTTAAGCAATTTTGTCGTCATGTAAACATCATAAACTTACACAAATCTAAATGGTATGGCCTACTACACATGGTATAGATAGCCTATTGCTCCTAGTCTACAAGCCTGTACAACATGTCACAAAACAATACAAGAAAAAATGATGCAATCAAAAGACCTGGTAAAAACAAGATGATACATGAGGCTGCTGCTGGTGTAATACAGCATACTGTTTTATAGTGAACTTTTTTTATATAAGTAAGAAGAATACACTCTAAAATAATGATTAAAAGTATAGTATATTAAATAAAGTAGTAACATAATTATTATCATTACCAAGTATTATGTATGTGCTATACTTTTGTAGGACTGGCAACACAGGTTTGTTTACACCAATATCACCACAAACACGTGAGTAACGCATTATGTTACAATGTCACAATAGCTACGAGATCACTAGGCAATAGGGATTTTTAGGCTCCATTATAATCTATGGGACCACCATTATATATGTGGTGCTGGGCTGACTGAAATGACATTATGCAGGGCGTGACTATATCAAAGTCATGGTAGATCACAGACTGCATGTAAGGCCATGTTGATCTTTGTGAAAAAAATTAAATTTGATTAGGATATATATTCAAATCCAAGGTTTGCTAGAAAGGTTAAAACAAAACTGTAAGAGAAATATGAAATTGAGAAGTGCGAGAAGATGAATACATGCATGTGTGTTTTGCAGAGGAAGAACAGGGTTGAGAGGGGGTGGGAGAAGTATCCAACAATTACCACGCATCTATTGTGACCCACACATTTTGCCCATTTGAGTAAACAGTCCAACTATGAAATGAGATAAAGAGAGGTTTTTATAGGTGGGTTTAAAAATTATTACTGATAATGCTGGGCAAATATGAGATTATCAATAATAGTTCAATGAAAGATGATCATTACTGCTGATCCTTTATGATGACATACAGCTGAGAGTAAAATAAGATATATTTTAGGGGTAAGAAATTCACTCTCTTTTTTGGGGACACAATGGTCAAGTTTTAAGTATAGCAGTACATTTACATTCTACCTGTACCAGAGGATCATCAAGTATTACCAAAAGAATAACAGATATATTGTCTGTTATAAAGGAAGACCTATTTCTTTCAGGTACTCACATGGGGGAACTACTACTACCAAGATTTTATTAACGTATCTGACATTCCACAGACTAAAGGAAATCATGAAAAAATTTCCTTGTCAGCCAAGTTTCTTCTAGGATGAAGTAAGGGTTCTTTCTTAACCTGAAGTCCCTGGGGAGGAGTTTGTGGATAGGCTAAAAAGTCTGAAATTCCATAAAATTGTATACAAAAATCTGTGAGTACCTAAATTTTTTAGAGAAACTTCATAGCTTTCACCAGCTTTTCAAAGGTGTCTAAGACCGCCACAAAACTTAAGAACTCTCATCCAGAGATAGGAAAAAGCAGCTGAATGGCCCCACCCACCCTGGTAATCAAAGTCCAAAAAATGAAAATTCAAAATCTCGCTTTAGTCAATTTCAAAATTCTCATTCATCAATTTTTTTTCAGAAGGAAAAAAAAGGACTGAAATTATTTCAAGGTATATCATTAAATTTAGACATTAAGAGACCATATTTTTTCAATCAACTATTGTATATTGTACCTTGTACAAAGGAGATACTAAATAAAATCTTGTTGCATTAATGAGCAAAATCATATAAGAAAAAATACAATTGTATTCTATAAATCACACCATATATCCAAATTAGTACTTAAGAAACAAACTTGCCTATCAAAAGGTAACTCCTGGGCAATTAGGTGCAACTTCTGAATGATGTCTGCTGCCTCCTTTATCTATTAAAAAAAAAATGAAAGCAATAAAATTTTAAAAACCCTTATGTATATAAAAAAAATTTTATATTTGAAAATAGTAGTATGCCCACAGACCCTCACCCAATTTTCTTTTAAAATCCACAACAAATAAAACTTTGTGAGCAAAAGGAATACATCTGAGGTATCAACAAGTTGATAAAACATAAACATTTGTCTTTCTGGCACTGAAATCTTTTGGTTTTATAATGCTACAATCCTTTCCCAATGAAACATATAGTTTGTTTAATCTGAAAAAGTTCAACTCATTGCTTGCTGAAAGAAGAAGTGTAAGTTTCTTCTGAGTTTATGAACCCAAAAAGGACAAAAAAAATTCATGAAAATAGTTCAGCTCATACTGCTGCATCTAACCCACTTTAAATTAAGTAAATAAAATAACAAAAATGTCACTTCAGCTTATCAAAGATTTAGGTCAGACCACCCCCTCATCCAATGGAATGTAACTATTCAAAAACAATAGAAATTCTTACTATTAAAAGTCAATTACAAAAAAGAAATACTCATTAACACAGTTACCTCAGCATTTTTAAGCCACATACAATTTCATCAACAAAAATGCCAAGCAACCCAATTAAAAACTTGAATATGAACACTTCATCAGCAATCTGTAGGCAACTGCACTACTCTGCATTTCAGAATTAAAAACTTGTAATATGTCAACTACTTAGTGATTTGACGTCTGTCTCTGGAAAGTAATAATTATAGTTTAAAATTAGGATGTTGTTAATGCTGTAGTTACCTTTTATCCTTCTGACAGTACTCACCTTTTCAGAATTTGTAAAAACATCAGATTTCAATTCTCCATCTAGAAACTCATTAAAGTATTTCATCAATTTCTGAGCCTCCACTGCCCGTTGTCTGGGTGTGTTTACCCCTTCCAACTGGTCACCAAGGTGACAGACCTTGGTTGCTACGTAGCTGATGTGCTCATCTAGTTCTTGGAAATGTTGGAAGGCAACCTAGAAAAAATATGCATAAGCATAAAATACAATGACAGAACCCAGTTTATAAAGTTAATTTCTATCAAAACTAAACCACCAACTAACTCATCACTATTCTCAAACTTAGATCATTAAAGATAACACAGAAGTTATATATATGAGATGATATACAAAAACACAATTCATGCTCATTATATCGCATAATCTGAAAACTTTTTAATAAAGTTGCAGACTTTTATACTTTTAACTATTTAACTATTAAAATCATATTTTATCATGAATACATTTGCTAAACAACACAACAACATGGCTATTTACTATTCATCTGTTTAACGAAGTTCCCAGTGACACACTCCTAAATAATGATTCTGAAAACAATGAACTAAAGTATCAAAGGGATCAGTTATCTGAACTCACTTGCTACTACACTAAAATGAGCCCAAAATGTCAGAAGACATAGATTAAAAAGAATATTTAACAAACATTTGTGTTAAACATTTAAAGAGCAATGCCAGTATTACACATAAGGTATAATGGTTTTTGCCCAGTTTTGAAAACAGAAAAGATTGCAACAATTATTCTATTGGGGCAAACAAAGGTACATTACTTCCTAGAATGACCCTTTTCCCCAGGTCACTGATTGTCCTATGGTAGATGAAAATTATGTACTTTGAATGCCTTAGAATTGCCAATAACAAAACTGCTGGTAATTTAGTATGGTACTTTTGTTCTAATCTTAAATTGAGGGGGATTTTACTGTTCTAAGTTGCAAAGATTTACTGTTCTAAGCATATTCCACGTATTTACGTATTTAATCCTTGCAACAACGTATTTTATATGTAAATGAAAAAACTAAGGCACAGGACAGCTGAGTTGTTTGAGATTACACAACTAATATTTGGCAGAGCAGACTGGATCCAGACTTTGTTAGATTAACTATTAATATCACTATTACCACCAAGGGAAAATTGCATTAGAAATATTTGGAATCTATCGCCTTAATTACTTAAAAACACATTTTCTATCTTATGTAAATCACTGACTTCTTTAGTAAATGTTTTCTCACAGCCATATATGCTTAAGCGAAGGAATCTAAATAAATAAAATTTGAGCAGAGATCAGTTTGCCAATTCCTAACACTAAAGAACAAACAACCCCCAGGAGGCAGCAGAGCTAAACAATGTTTCTCAAACTTACATAGTTATAAAGAGCAATCAAGTTTCAGATCAGGCTCAGGCTGTGAACGAGGTTTGGGGGTTCCAGATAAAGTCTAGGGCCTAAGAATGGCTAAGAAGCTTGGTTTACTTAGCTCCAGGGCCAGTCTAGTAATTTGGTTCTACTCCAAAATGGACTGAGGAAGAATTCTGCATCCGCTTTTCCCACAGTTACACTAGAATTCGCATTGGGACACATATCTCAATGACTTTTATGAAACTTCCCAGACTAGGTTTCCTCTAGGGAAAACCCTGATCCAGGCAATACCTGGTCTGATATTACCTTGTTTTAAGATTAAATGAGAATGCAAATGACTACCCTAAATATCGCAGCTAATAATGAGACCCTAAAGATACAGGTCTGCTGAGGCATCATTCTTGAAAGTTTGCATTGTTAGAGGGGAAGTAAGGACCACACTGTGATAGATACTACCCCATCCTAAGAAGGGAGTACTATGATCCCAAATCAACACTCAATTGCAAGCCAAAAGTGTCTGATAACAATTCATTAACATTTTATCCCATGGCCTGGGAAGAGCAGAACGAAACCTCAACAGTTACTATCATTTGACTAGACTTTTATTAAGAACTTAAAACCAGAAGGAAATAAAGATATTATAGCATATGTAAACTATTCATTACTTAGCTAAATATTTCTTTACCTGATTGCTTTTCTGGAGCTCTTGTACCTTCCTGGCAAATTCCTTGGCTTCCTTCTGACACTGTTGCTCTAGTTTCTCTACTTTCCTTTGAATCCTTTCATCCATGATCTGGAGTTCTTGAATATGATTTACAAATTCTTCTAATAACCTAATAGAGAAAAATGAGAATATGTATCAATCCATCTATGATTAATTTTAGGAACTAACCAGTTCACTTATAATTGTAAATAAGGTGTTAACAACCATTTCTTGAACTAAGGATGATGATGTTAATCTTTAATCTCTATAGTGTCTTGTTAGGAATTATCTCTGGCATGAATGAAAACCTCACCTAAAATCTCCATTAACCTCCAGAATATAAAACCAATTTCAAAGAAACAGTCAAAAGGTAAATGTATGACATAAAAATAATATTGTGCATTCCAGGGTACAGTGACTTTCTGTTCCCCCAATTTACAACTATACTTAAAACAATATATTCAACATGTGTTTATTTTAAAAGTAATGCCAACTCTTTCTAAGTTATTACTAATTAAATATTAAATTCTTGTAATGTGACAAAATTCCTTCCATACCAATTAAAGTCCTTCTCTAAAATAAAAGGATTGTAAAGGGGAGGGGGAATAAATCCCAAACTTTTAATAACCAATTGTTAACTAAAATCCCTTTACATGAACATTGAAAGGCATTCCAACAATCACACCTATTCCAAATACAAATTTGTACTAGATTGGGTCTATGAAAAAAAATTTTTTACTTCACCTTTTAGGATCAAAAGCTTCAGATCCCCCTCTAGAGCCTCCTCCTGGGGTTCTCCATACAAGACGTTCAATATACTCATCTGCCACAAAAGGCTCCTAGTTTATAAAATAAATGTTCTTTAAAAAAGTTTCATAGAAGATAACTTAAGACCACTTGCAAAAGTGAAACAGGTTCTATCTATTATGTGAGAATTTAAAATGAAATTAAATTACTAATATCAGTTAAAACTGGAGAAGTGAGCAAAGGACACAATTTATAGAAGATATACAAATGATCAAGAACCATGAAAAACATTCAACTTCACTAATAATCAAAAAGGTCAAATTATCACTTTTTTATCTCACAAGATGACAGTTTTTAAAAATTATAATATGTAATGCAAGAGAGGGTATGAAGGGCTGGCCGAGTGGCGCGTTGGTTAAGAGCTGGCTTAGGATACCAGCTCTGTGCAGCAGGGTCCCGGTTCGGATCCCACATGAGGGCCAGTGACACTGCCCTCTACAGCTAAGATGGTGAACAACAGCTCAACCTGGAGCTGGAATGCCGTGAGTTGCTGGCGACAGCATTGGCTGCAGCCCCTGCTGCAGTGGGTTGCCATAAGCTACCGTGTGTGGCCAGCAGCCAGCGTGAGTGGCCCACAGCTGGTGTGAGCTGCCAAGAGCTGCCATGAGTGGCCATCCAGAGGTCGGCAACAGATCTGCCTCACCCGGGAAGAGCGCAATGTTAATACCAACATGGGCCAGTGAAGCGACATCCTCCACAACTAGACTGAAGAACAAAAGGACAGCAACTTGTCTTTTCCCCTTCTCTGATTCCCCAACACTGTTCCCCAACACTGTTCCCCTCCCCCAATTCCCCAATAAAATCTTTAAAAAAAAAAAAAGAGATGGTATGAAATTCACACTCTCATTATGTTAGAAATGTTAACAGGTACAGTATTTTTGGAGGGCAATAGATAGCACTTAGGTAACATCAAAAGTATTACAAATTCTCTTACCCTTTAACACAGTAATTCTACTTTTAAAATTTTAAGGGGAAAGCAAATATGAACACAAAAATTTTTGCAGAATGCTCACTGAATATTACATACAATATTGAAAAATTTGTTTATATAAATAGTCAACAAAATTATTACTGAAAAATTACAGTAGACTTATAGGATGCAAAACTACATTCCTATTAAAATAATGTTATAAAAAATTTAATGAAATGAGAAAAAATGCTCACATATATAATATCTGATGAAAAAAAGGATACAAAATTTTGTAAATTTTCTCAGGAAAAAAGCAATAGTTATAATATTAGAGTAAAAGGGCCAAACAAGAAAATAAACATTCAAATGTTACCCATCAGCTGATAATGCTTTTTTTACATGCTAATTTACATATTTCCCATACTACCCTCTTTCATGCAAATAAATACCATATATTGTCTCCCTCTTAACATGTAACTTAAGCTAGCATTATCTTCTGGTGATTCCAGTTTAAATTCTTATATCTGTAAAATTTTCCATTTGTTAATTATACTTTAAAAACATTTTCATTGATAAACATGCACTGAACAATAAAATTTCCAGCACCAAACACTCTGTTAGGCTTTGGAATAAACAGATATATAAAACACAAACTGTACCCCTGAAAAACTCAGTCTAATAGGAAAAAATATATAAAGAACACAATAGTATGTGAAAGTAAAATTAAAAATTCATGCACAAACTTCAGTATTAAAATTGCTGAGTGGCTTGTTAACTCAGTATATAGTTGGGGGATGGAAATGGGATACTCATTAATTCAGTAAATATTTACTGAGCACCTACTATGTGCTGGGCACTGTGGTAGCAGTATAGAATACAAAAGTGAATTCAATAGACAGCGTCCCTGCAAGGCCGCATAGAAATGATCTTCTAAGTAAGGATGCCAACATTAAATAATTATAGAAATAAGTAATTACAATTGTGATAAATATGAGGGAAAGAAAAGTCCTGGATGCTCTAAGAGTATATAACAGAAACAGATGATGGGAAGATCGTAAGGAATGGAAGAAAAAACAGCAAGAAGTGGGTGTTACAACAGGCAGACTTTCTGAGAGCATGATACTTAATATAAGGCCAGAAGAATGAAGAAAAATCAGCCAGACAAAAGTGGAATGAATAGTTTTCCAGACCATTAGGGAAAGAGAAGATGGAGCTTAACCCATTAGAGGACTGAGAAGTAAGTATGGACTAGATCACAGAAGCCACATGTGGAAGGGATCTAGAGAGAGGTGACAATTAAGACCAGTGTATGATATACAACCTTGTACTTTTTATCATCATTATCATCATATTGGGCACTTGGTCTATACAATAAGAGCTATTACAGTGGGAAGTCCAATACAAGTCTCTGAAATTGTCCCCCCTACTCAATGTAGTAAAATCAAGTAGAATGGCAAAAATTAGTGCTACTTTTCAGCTCTAAAACAAAGATCAGCAAATATTTTCTTAAAGAGCCAGACAGCATTTTAGGCTTGTGGGCTAGACAGTCTCTGTTACAACCATTCAACTTGGCCATTATAATACAAATGTAATAACCACAGTTAACAAATGGGCAGGGCCCTGTATCAGTAAAACTTTAAAAACAGGCCTCTATTCCATGGGCTGTAAGTTTGCTGACTCCTGATCTAAAGGATGCAGGGGCAGTGTTACCCATCATTTTCTCATTTAATTCATCAATCTGGGTTTTGCAGAAACCAGACAAATCCTAGAGGATAACTAACTCAAAATTGACCAATGTAATAGCCCATGGTATATGGGCAATGCTTTGGCGGATACATACTTTTCCATTCCTATCAGCAAAGAGGATCAGACAGTTCAGTCACATAGAAATGACAACAGTATACATTTACAGTTTTACTTCAAGGCTTTGAGATCTCTCCTTCCCTCTATTATAACATGATATGTACCATATGGACATTCTGCAGACCATCTTACTGATCCATCATACAAATTGATATCATGCTAACTGGGCTGAATAAGCAAACAGCGGCTAGCATATTGGAGGGGGTAAAGATACATGTACTCCAGAGAGTGGGACATACACTATACAAAGATTCAAGGGCAGGGCCGGCCGAGTGGCACGTTGGTTAAGAGCTGGCTGGCTTGGGACGCCAGAGGGCCTCGGTTCGGATCCCACATATGAGGGCCAGTGACACTGTCCTCTACAGCTACGATGCTGAACAACAGCTCAACCTGGAGCTGGGCTGCCGCGAGTCGCCGGCAACGGCGTAGGCTGCAGCCCCTGCTGCAGTGGGTTGTCATGGGCTACCGTGTGTAGCCAGCAGTCAGCGTGAGTGGCCAGCAGCCACTGTGAGTGGCCGTCCAGAAGCTGGCAACTGATCTGCCTCACCCCGGAAGAGCACAAAAACGGTGCCACCTTGGGCCAGTGAAGCAACATTCTCCACAACTAGACTAAAGAACGAAAGGACAGCAACTTGTCTTTTCCCCTTCCCCCAACCTCCAATTCCCCAATAAAAAAATCTTAAAAAAAAAAAAATGAACAGGGTCAAAAAACAAACTGCATAAGCAGATAGCCCAAACCCCCATGTCTTCCACTATTGCACTAGCATCCCTCTCTCAACTCACACATATAGCCTTACGGGGGATCTTTTCCATCCAGCTGACAGAGAAGGAAAAGCCTGAGCTTGGTTCATGGAGAGTTGGCTAGGCATGTGGGTGCCAACTGAAAATAAACAGCAGCTGTAATTACAACTTTACTTAGGAGTGGTAGCCTTGAAATTCAGTGGCAAGAAAAAAATCCTCCCAATAGGCAAAGCTTCAGGAAACATACCTGGTCATTCCCTTCGGTGGACAGAGAACTGAACTGAGGTTAGAATATAGTATATGGACTCAGAGATAATGGCAAAGGCCCTGGCTATCAGAGGAAAAAGATTAGAAGACTGAAGACAGGGAAGTCTGGGGTAGAGTCATGGGGATGGAACACGAGAGTGGGCATGAAGTGTGAAGATCTTTGTATTTACCGTTAAAACCTACCAGAGGACATCCACTGTGGAAGAAGAATTAAACAATCAAGTAGACAAACTGACTCTGCCAGTTGACATCAGCCAGCCTCTGACCAGCATTAGCACACTGACCAGAGCAAACAGTACAGACACAACATGGCCCCATCAATATGAGGTCCTACTTACCAAGACTGATCCAGCTACTGTCAAAGGCAAATATCTAGCCTAACAGTGACAGAGATCAACTCTGAGCCCTAAAACAGCCCCATCCTTCAAGTAGACTACTCAGCCATGTGGTGGCTTGACTACATTGGGGCCTTTTCATTCTGGAAAAGTAATTCAGTATGACAGGAATTAGAAACATTCTGAGTTGGGTTTGCCTCTCCTCAGAGGGAGTGTTTGTTCCCCTGGCACTAGATCCCACATATCACATCAGAGCAAAGGACCCATTTACAGCAAAGGAAGTGACTATGGGATCCACTGGTCATATTACAAACCACACCATGCAGAAGCTGCCAGTCTGACAGAGCACTGAAAGCCTGCTGAAGGCATAGCTGAAGCACCGGTTCAGAGACAATATTCTATAAAGATGGAGTATACATTATGAACAAAAACCCTTTTATGTGATGCTGTGTCTCCAAAAGGCAAAACACATGAGTCTGGGAACAAGGAGTAAAATCCGAAATAGTCCTGCTAATAATAACCCCCAATTTATGCTTGCTGTTCCTGCAATTCTGGGATCTACAGGGTTAGAGGTCTTGCTCTCCAAACAGGGAACACTTGCCTGGGAACATAATAAGAGTCCCATTAAACTATAACTATAGGTGCTGCCTGGGCTGTTTATATGCAGGGGCAATTGGCTCTGATCATCAGGAGGAGGCAGGGCTGCTATTAAACAATGGGTACAGTGAATACTATGTTTGACACAGCTCCCTCATGAGAATCTCTTAATACCCCCTTAACCAATTCAAAAGTACATGGACAAGTGTAGCAACCCTGGTATGGTAACCCAGTTAAACCACCAAGAATGGCAGAGGTACTAGCTGAAGGTGAGGGGGGTTCGAATGGAAAGCAGAGGAGGGAAACACTGCGCACGAGT